ATGTACATGCACGCAGCCACAGCATGCACACAGCCAGGAAGGCAGCCAGGCAGTGTGGAGAGCAGCACCCTGACAATCTGTGGAGAAGGAATGTGGGGGAGAGAAGGGGCGATGATTCAGACTCCCAGGGAGGGTGGGGGTGGGGCAGGGGCAGAGGGCACTGCCCAGTCAGGGCAGTGAATGGGACCCTGGGGCTGGGGCAGGGAGTGAGGGCAGGTGTGAAGGACATATGGCTCCCCCAGGGGAAGCATGGGGGGGCATATGCCTCCTTCTTCCCTCCCCCAGATTTGTGCGTAGGGCAGAGGCAGGCTGCCCACTCTAGGCTCTTTACCCTTCTGCCTTTGCCTGGGAGCCACATGCTAGTTGCATGCCTCCACCCATCCAACAGCAGTGGGGGCGGCGAGTTGTGCCTCCCGCTGCCGGATGAGCAGGGGTTGTATGGCCAGCACGTGGCTCCCAGGACAAAGGCAGCAGGGCAGAGAGCTCCAAGTCCACAGCAGGTAGCCAGCTTCTGCCCTTGCCCTGCTTGGCTCTGCTCCTAAAAGCGCCCCCACACAAAAATGGTGGTGGCAGTGCTTGCAACTTAACCTCATTTGATAAGGTTTAGTTCAATCACCCCCGCCACCATTTTTAAGTACCATGATGCCGATCCCCTAGATGAGAGATACCTGTGGCTCTGTCCCACTCCCGGCTCAGGGGGTCCCATTCACAGCCCTGGCTGGACAGTGTCCCCAGCCCCAGCTCCACTCCCTCCCTTACCATGGGGACCTCAGTCTGCCCTGCACCCCGTATATCTTCCTCTCCACAGACTTGCCTGCAGGGTGATGCTTTCCACACTGTCCAGCTGTTTTCCTGTAAATTGGTTATTGGATTGGTATCAGCCAATATGCCTGGTGAATAATCGACTACATGTATTGGCCAAGGAAATTTTTATTGGTGCACCCCTACTTATAACTATTGTTACTCTCCAAACCTACTATGTGGATGGGTTCTTGAAAGAATGACTAGAGCTGGCAGTTTTTAATACAAAACTAAGCAGAGATGTGGGTTTTCTGAAAAATTTTGAATTGAAAAATTTTCCAATGCCCTAAATAACATGCTAAATCAGAACATAATTTATTTGACTTATATTTAGTAAACAAAACTAAAAAACAAACAAACCCCATGTTAATTCTATGTCCCAATAGCCACAAGTATTTGAATTGAAATATTTGATTAGGAAAAAAATTAAATACAGCACACTTAATAGGGTATAAATGTTATATTCAAACAAATTCAAAGCTTTATGTGGAAAGAAATTATTTTTATTGGAATACTTGTAAAAATGTAAAGACAATATACAATATCATGTATTTCCCTTACATTGTTTGTTTAAAATTTAAGGAAAAAACCCTAAGGCACTGAAAACTGTTAACACACTAATTTTAGCACACCCAAAAGAACTGTGCATGATATGCCGTGGTTGTCCACTCATCTACTTCAACAGAGTTGAACTCTCTTCCACTGAGGTCACTGCAGCACCTCCAGTTTCACTGTCACTAGCTGGAGAATCGCTTGCACTACTTATTCGTTTAATTTCAGAATCAGATTGAGGCAAATCTGATTCAGAACAACTTGAACCACACTCTCATTCTCTAAAGGATGGCTTTACCAATGAGTCTATGGGCAAGGGCAACTTATCATCACACTGCATCTTCTTCACTAGTTGTGCTTCTGACTGATTCTCCAGAAGCAAGAGATTTTGAGAAATAGAAACAAGCTTAGCGATGCATTCATTTGGCTTTGATTTGACCTGCACAGCCAATTAAGTGAATTCATAACCTGATTTTTGGTTTGGATTACTGCGCAAGTGTATTTACCCTCCTGTTTACAAACCAATAAAACATATATGTACTCTCTCTCACACTTCCTAGGGATAATCACCTGAAAACATTAATTACAACTTTGAAATTGCCAAGCTTGTCTAATACTGTATTGGCATCCATTCATTATTACTAATGAATTTTATAAAACAATTAATTTTTAGAAATGGAAAATTTCCCATGGAAAAATTAAGCACTGGAAGTTTTTCCAGAAAATTTTCTGTTTTGGAAAATTTTCTGCCACACATCTCTGCAACAAAGAATCACTGCTTTAACATAATGACCTTAGAATATTTTAGTGTGGTTCCCCATCTATCTTTCCCACCTTTAATGACTTTTTTTTCTGACCACTGCTGTACTTAAGCAGTTGCCTCCATTGATCCATCTGGATGTTAAGATAAAATATCCCTGTGCAAGCTAATAAAAATGGTATCTCCTTTTACTGGGGCCATTCTCCAAAATTTGAATGTGCTTGTATGATTTTGGGAAAGACATGCAAATATAATCAAGCAGAATAAGATGCTAAATCAAACTATTAACATTAAATACAAGTTGTCTTAAGAGCTACCACAATCCAACAATTTGTAAGGGTATTACTTTACAGTATTTCTAGCTATGCAGACAAGTGAGGGAGTGAAAATTCATAGGGCAACATGGGGAGCCTGCATCACTTCAACACCATTGCATGACCCAGCAGAGAAACTAAATCACAGGGTCACTTGGAAAGGCGTCTTAATAGGGTTTGATGCCTCAAGGCACTTCAATGTCCTGTGGTACTTTTGACTTTACAGAAAAGGAGAATTTAATTTAAAAAACTTGAGCACCGAGAGAAAGAAAACATAGGTTCTTTCTTTACAAGACAACTATCGTAAAAGATACCAATATAAAACAATCCCCAACCCGCCAAAAAACAAGCAAAAAAACCCCCAAACGGTGAGGCAACATTTCACAAATGAGACTGCAACCACAGTATGTTACAAATCCATGAAGTGATTTCCATTTTACCTCAGACCATCACAAGACTAGTATTCCAAATTCATGTACACCCACAGAACATTTCCATGTTCTTAGCAGCACTTTTGATCCAGCACAGCCAATTACCATATTCCAACAAGTCTAAGGGACAAGCAAATGTGAAATCTCCAACTTCCCTAGACAAAATTCACAATTAGATGGCACTGCTATAGTTGTGATGTATTCATTTTTGCAAAGAAGACTTGTGTTCCTTAAGGATATGATAGTATGGTTGAGTGCCTTGAACATTTATTCTGCGTTTGCCAAACTTGTTGCATAAACAAGCAGGGAATAAAAATTCTAGAAGAGCACTAACACACAACCTGCCAGGAGCCAACTCGATAGACTCATGAGGCATAATATTCCAACTATGCAAATTTCCCCCATCCTTTTTTTTATTTTTTTAAGGGAAGTTACTGCAAGTACAAGATTATGTGCAATCAGAGAGAATAATGCAGTTGAGAAGGAAAATACAAAGGACAGGAACAGCACCAGTCCTAAAAGTGTACAGGCCAAATAAGTGATAGGGCTAACTGAACGTGGTTACTACATCGTGGCCATATTCTACCACAATCTGTACCAAGATACTACTGAGGTTGACTAGCCCTCCAAGAGAGACTTTTACACACACATTTATAACCCAGACTATTATAATAGATGAAAATGGAATTTAGTACTCTACCAAATGAAGCAAAACCCCCTAAATTAGAATACTGTGACAAGGCCACCTACACTGGAAGTTAACACAACTGAAGCACTTGAGATTATGTTCTATTTCAATAGTTGGCATCTTTGAGCAATGTGCGCGCCATGAAGTCAATATTCAACTAGTACAATGAATCAAGTTATACAGCACAAGTACTATTTTTCTATAATTTTGTAACGTGTTACTTTTTAATTCCATTAAAAATTAAAATATACATGTCCACATGGAACCATGAAGTGAAGAGCTGTGTTTAAGAACTCCAAACTGCAATACTAATTTGCTAAGCGCTTCCTAGCCAAAACAGATGGGTATTTTTACATGTGCTCTGGGGGTGGGAAGGGGACAGCGCTTTCATTAGAGTAGATCCAAGAGCTGCTTTAATTAAAATGTCCCCACGCTTAAAAATGGCAGTGGGGGTGCTTGAACTGAAGCTCAATGAGCTTTAGATAAAGCGCCCCCATTTTTAAGTGCAGGGACGCTGATACACGAGACATAGAAGGCTGCATGTCAGCACAGCCTCTGTGTTCGTGTAGTGTCCAATGGATCCAAGTCTCTCATTTGATTAACTCTTCGTAACACAAAATGTTCCCTTTAAGACATATTAATACTACCTCCTCCTTTCTCATTTTCCCAGTTGTGTACAAGTAGAAGATTGTGATATCATACTTGGGATGAGGCAGTAGCAATGTACATTGGTGATCACCATGAGGTTGATGTGCTTGCATTATTAAATTGTGGCATTACAAAACCATAAAGCATAAATTTATTAAGTGACAAATAAACCTTCTATATGAACAAATAAAAATAGTGATCTAATCTAAGTACTCTACAACAGTTGTACATTTTAGACATTGGGGTATTACCTAAGGCTTAGTACCTTTGGCAAGTGAAACAAAGCATCCACCAATAAGCATATTACTGCAATACAGAGAAACACATTTTGAAAGTGGCTCATAGAAGGTCAACTCAAAGTCAAAAACATAACATCTTGGGACAAAGACATTAAGAGGCTGAACACTTGGGCAAAAGGTGGCAACAGGAAGATCATGTCCTTTGTTTCTATGAAGAAAATACTGAGCACAATGATGGCGTTAAGGCAGGTTTTGTCAGCAAAACTCTTAAGAACAGAGAGGTTGAATTTACCTGAGAAAAAAAATGTAAGTGACAGACTACTTAATAAGCTGCATACCTTGTCAAGGGTACATGATCCCAATATTGTTACCCAAGTTGCCCACTTTTCTTTTTTCAAGTGGCAATTTAAGTTTTAACTACCAGGACGCTAATTAGCTGAGGATCTGTTTACTCAGTAGTGTCCCCCTCTTCCATACCATGCAAAGGAAACAAACAAATGGGATCTTCATTTAAAGACAGAGCTGGAGAATACTGTACTAATAAGAGGCCTTCATTTTAGAACTTACTTCCACTGCTTGATCCAAATTAGCCTGAGGTTGGTCACCCTCCAAAGCAAGCTTCAAAGCACATATCTTTACTTTAGCTGGTTGTTGCAGAGAGGAGCAGTTTGATAAATTTGCACATCTGTTGGACATGAGAACTTTAGTGGGAACCACTAAAGACACAAATTGACTAGGTCTCAAAGACACACATAAGCAGTCCCAACCGAAGTCAATGGGACTGCATATATTTTCATGTTTATGGAACTGGCAATTCCTTTCTTTTTTAATGGGATTCAGATATGATGCAGAGAGCACAAAAGTTTAACCACCTCCTAATCAAGGAACTGCATTTTAACTGTCACAAGACCTCATATAAAAGTACGTGATATTTCATAAATAACTGGAACTTCATCCGGGTACACACAAAGGTTTTATACCCGAGGACTGATAGAGGATAAATAAATCAATAGAAAATTCACTGAAGGAAAATAACAGGAAGCTGACAGCTTCTGAACTTGTACTGGGTTGCTAGGGAGAATCTGTATCCACCAATGTCAATACTACAGGACATTTGGAGCAATACACAGAGGACACCAATTTTAAGGCCTTACACAATACTGGAGTCAGAATTCCCAATCTCATTACAGTAGCTGCTCAGCAAAGCAGAGAGAGAGAATGGCAGCTCTCCTCCATAACAATCATCCTTACAATAATAAAGACCCTGGCAGAAAATTTTTGCCTACCCCCTAAGTTTTGCTGTCAGAAATAAAGGGCTTTTCTAGACTACAGTTAAAAAAGTGACTTCCAATATTGCTAAAGATATACACTCAACCTAATTCAGATACTGATAACAGTCTGGCCAGAACAGCATGAATCTCAGCAAGTGCTGGTTTACCCTGTAACAGAGCTCCATGCTGCTGAGGCTAGACATCTAATACCCGAGCTGGCTACATTAAAGCTAGCTAAGAGCTTTCTAACTGCAGAGTAGACATAGCCACATATTATTGGCAGGGCTCAATGCATGTACCCTAAAAGAAACGTTCAAACCCAGGTAGAAGACTGCAACACTCAGGTTTGCAGGGAAAGCCCTGCTGAAAAAAAATGAGCCTGTCGATGCAACGGAAAGACGATTCTGGAACTGCTCTTGGGCTGCACTCTCTGGACTCGGCTCATAAATTTCACTGTACCAGCCAATCTCTACCCACATCTTATCTGCATGCCAAATACTTTCTTAGTAATTCCATTCACTTTTTCTCCTCCATATCAACCAATGTGTTTCCTTTCTTGCAACATAATCCTTCCCTGAGATGTTTACACCTTCCTGTCCCACCCCCCCAAGCCAGTTCCCTTTGTACTTCAGAGTCTTTATACAGCCACCACATTGAACACATTTTTGCCCTCAAGGCAGGAGCAGCAGCCCCCTGGAATTTCACTCTCCTCCCCAAGTCCTCCAGTTTGTCACTTGCCCATTAGGAGCCGCTCAGAACCAAGCCCAAGATTTAAAGTGGGACTGAGAGCAAGAAGGAAAAAGACTAACCAGCTGCCAGCTTGGCCTGCGGCAGGGGGTGGGTCCTTGCCTAGCAGCCTGGAACCACAGGGGCCTCCTTCCTGCTCCGTGCAACTTAAGGGGAATAAAGCTATGCAAGGAGCTAAGGTGCCAGGAAGCTCCTCCAGACTGGGTGGGGGGCGGGGAACGGGACAGGGTCCTCCACCAAGGGCAGCTGGGCCTGCGGGTGGGCACAAGGCAGGCCCAGGCCGGGGGGAGGGGGGGGCCTCA